ATAATACTGAGAATTGTTGGGGAGTTGGGGAATTAACACAGTAGAAATATAGTGGTTCACCAGATCGGGTGCTCGACTAATCCACTCTTCAATGAAGATTCTTGCTCTTTCCATCACTATTTACTATACCAAAAGGTTTACAGAATGCAAAATGTGATACTAGGGTTCTGCCTCTCTGTTGGGGGCGTTACATAGTATTTATAGGGGTATCCCTTAATCTATGGGATCTGATCCGTGATCCTCGTCATTTATCCGAGGAATTCTCCTTGATCTTAGGAGAATAACTTGGTTGGTTGAGGATTTTGTGCCTCGAGTGTTACTTCAAATCGCTTGTCGAGTTCTTGGTAGTATCCAATTGTTTCCTCATTGCTTCAGCTTATTATCTCGCTTGAGGGGAACTCTAGCTCTGATTTTCTAAGCTCTGCATAGCTTTGATTTTCTGAGCTCAGTATACCTGACCTTCATGTTTGACCTCCGTTCCCGAGCTCCTGCTCGAGAATCATTCTGAGTATCATCAGTTGCACCCCAGCTCTTGGCCGAACTGGCTTGGGCAAGGGCTGAACTTAGGATGTAACAGTAATGGCTTCCTAATCGGTGACTTCGAAGTTTGCACAGGGAATTTTTTTTTTGCATGTAGGTGCTCCTGACCTAAACCTGCTTGAATTGATGAGGGTGGAACAAATGACCCAAGTTGAGCCCATGTCTTTTCCTGATCTCATGATGCCAAATAATCTGTTCTTGTTTAGCGCCGCTGCAGTTGAACGGGACTTTCCTTTTTTTCTGAATCTAATCTCTCTTCTACCGGGTTTGATAAGAGCGAGGATGTTGGGACTCATATCAAGAAACGCAAAAGGGATGGTTTATCATTTCCTTCATCCAGATCTTTCCTGGGGGGAAGTTCTGTTTTCCTCTGTTGGACAAAAATTGATGGATCTACTGTCAGCGACTGAGAAGAAGAGGGATGAGTTGAAGGAGGAGAACCTGCGTTTGAAAGAGAGGATAGCTGAACTGTATAAACGACTAGGATTTTTGCTTTGATTGGTTTCTTTGTAATCTTTGATGGTCTTGAAACCTTGATTTTCCCTTTCCATGTTTGCAGCTTCTTATACACAATTTGTAGCTTTGAGAATCTGGCAGCTGATCTTCCATGTCATTTCCTGGCTTGTGGACCAAAGACCCCCATTTTTTCTTTTTGTAATGGACAGAAACTGTGAAGCTTTCCTTCTAGTCTACGTGCTGCAGGTCTTGCTTTTAGTTCTTCTGGAGCAGGAAGCGTATTCTGAGTTGCTGCATTTGCTTTAGGGACAAAAGAACTCGTCCTGAGCTACTGAGCTATTTTTATGGACTGATAAGTTCAACGTGAGCTCCAGGGCTCTTTTTATGAACTAACGAGTTCATCGTGAGCTCTAGGGCTCTTTTTATGAACTAACGAGTTCGTCGTGAGCTCCAGGGCTCTTTTTTATGACCTAACGAGTTCATTGTGAGTTCTAAGACTTTTTTTATGAACTAACGAGTTCATCGTGAGCTCCAGGGCTCTTTTTATGACCTAACGAGTTCATCATGAGCTCTAAGGCTCTTATTACGGACTAATGAATTCGTCGTGAGCTCTCGGGCTCTTTTTATGAACTAACGAGTTCATTGTGAGCTCTAGGGCTCTTTTTATGAACTAATGAGCTCATCGTGAGCTCTAAGGACTAATGAGTTCGTCGTGAGCTTCAGGGCTCTTATTACGAACTAATGAGTTCGTCATGAGCTCCAGGACTCTTTTTATGAACTAACGAGTTCGTCGTGAGCTCCAGGGCTCTTTTTATGAACTAACGAGTTCATCGTGAGCTCTAAGGCTCTTATTACGGACTAATGAGTTCGTCGTGAGATTCCGAGCTCTTTTTATGAATTAACGAGTTCATCATGAGCTCTAAGACTCTTATTACGGACTAATGAGTTTGTTGTGAGCTCCAGGGCTCTTTTTATGAACTAACGAGTTCATCATGAGCTCTAAGACTCTTATTACGGACTAATGAGTTCGTAGTGAGTTCCCGGGCTCTTCGTAAGAGTGAATGAACCACAGACTTGCTGCTTTATTAATAATCATATTACAGGACTAACTTACTGAAAAAATTTCCTAAGATGTTTTGCATTCTAGGAGTGGGGTAAAATTTTTGTCGGGTCTGCTTTCATCCAAGGTGCCCACCTTAGGAATTTTTCGTTTTGTACCTCATACGAGATTTGCGATATTGTTGCGATGAGTGGAGGGACCTGCCGAGGTGCTTATCTGGGCTGTAACTCTGGATGAGGTGGTCCCAAGCGATCTTTGACGCCTCCCCTTCTTTTGGGGGATCGATCTCTGTCTCTCCTTGGGGACCTATCTCGTCCTCTTTCTCTTCTGGGACTTCAGTCCCTCTTTTTCTCTTCTTTCCCTTTGTCTTTTTGCATGGATGAGCTCCCCACTTTTGAGAGGAGAGCTTCTTCGCCGTTTATGTACTTTTCTACCTTGGCCAGTACTTCGGCCATGCTGGCCTGAGAATTTTTTGAAATAGAGAACATCAGGTCTTTAGATTGTACGCCTAAACCAGCTATGAATGCAGTAATGACAAATTTCTCGTCTGAGACATCCACTTTTAGTGATTCAGAGTTGAACCTCTGAACATAGGATCTGAGGTTCTCTTGGGGTCCATACTTCACATTCAACAGGTGGTAACTCGGCTTTCTGTACGTTCGAGATCCTATGAAGTGAGATACAAAGGATATAGATAGCTCCTTAAAGGAGGAAATTGAGGTAGGGGGAGCCTATGAACCACGCCAGGGCTGAGCCTTTCAACGTGATGGCAAAGGCTCTGCAGCGCACTGGATCCTGGTATCCATGCAACTCCATCTGGTTCTTGTAAGTGTTGAGATGATCTACGGGATTCTTTGTTCCATCAAAAGCCTTTATTTGTGGTACTTTGAATTTCAAAGGGAGGGGAAAATGCAACACGCCAGTGGTGAACAGAGATTCAGTCTATTGTACCAAGGCATCCATCGTAACTGGAGCCTTGCCTCTCACGGCTTTCCTTCATGTGGCTGAGTTCTTGCTGGATACCCTGGAAGCGCTGCTCCCAGTACCACTCTCTCCTTTCCTGTTGACAGGGAAAAAAATCGTTCATCTCGCCCCCGTCATTCTGACTTTGTACTTCTTCGTTGTGTCCATTCTTGGGGGGTATGAGAGGTTCTGGCCCCATAGTTTGGCTATTTTCCCCTTCTTCGTTGATTTCCCTGAGGGGGTCGAGGTGTTGTTGCTCCATAGGTGGTGGGTTGTTCTGGCCTTCTTGAGCCTGTCGCGTCTCCCTGTGGGTGTTGTAAGAGCTTTAAGAGTTCTTCATTTTGTTTCAGCAAGCGTTGATTAACAAGGCGAAGGGTCTCCATCTCGTTATTCATGGGGAGACTCCCCACGGGTGGATTGGTCTCTTGGACATTCTCAGGTTGTCTGCTATTAGTAGCCTCTTGTTGATCTTGCATCCATGGTGGATTTGTCTGACTTCGGCTCATGTTTCGTGTTGATACCATCAGTCACTGAAAGATCAGTTTATTTATAATAGGAACAGTCGTTTTGAACAGACAGCGCCAAACTGATGGTGTATTTTAACGTGATGCAATTTTGTGATAACGAGTTAGTGAAAGAAACAATATCGAAATTATTGGGATCTGAGCTACTAAACTCCAGGAAATGATACTGAGAATTGTTGGGGAGTTGGAGAATTAACATAGTAGAAATATAGTGGTTCATCAGCTTGGAAGCTCGGCTAATCCACTCTTCAATGGAGATTCTTGTTCTTTTCATCACTATTTACTATACCAAAAAGTTTACAGAATGCAAGATGTGATACTAGGGTTCTGCCTCTCTGTTGGGGGCGTTACATAGTATTTATAGGGGTATCCCTTAATCTATTGGATCTGATCCGTGATCCTCGCCATCTATTCGAGGAATTCTCCTTGATCTTATGAGAATATTTTGGTTAGTTGAAGATTTTGTGCCTTGAGTGTTACTTCAAATCACCTGTCAAGTTCTTTGTAGTATCCAGTTGCTTCCTCATGCTTCAGCTTATTATCTCACTTGAAGGGAGCTCTAGCTCTGATTTTTTGAGCTCTGCATAGCTCTGACTTTCTGAACTCAACATACATGACCTCCATGTTTGACCTCCGTTCCCGAACTCCTGCTCGGGAATCATTATGAGTATCATCAATAATTATTACATATCTTGGCTGCAACTGTAAAGTACATTTATTTTAGGGAGAATTACATTCAGATTGATTTAGGTTTGTCACTTAATTACTTAGACTTTTGATATTTAAAATATTATTTATAGGCCTCCTAAAGTTTATACGCGTGTAACACTTAGGTCTTGCAATTAAAATATCCATTAGTAAATTATATTTAGATCCCATAAAATTTGTATGCATGCAATATTTAGACTCGTCAAGTTTAAAATGTTATACTTATACAAAAAATATTTCAATTCAATATAGAATATCAAATATTTTAAATTTTATAATCAAAATTCATGTTCTATTATGTCATTTATTGATATAAAATTAAAATTAAAAATTTAATTTTTTCTTTAAAAAATCATAATTAGTATAAAATTATATTAAAAAAGTAAAACTAAAAAAAATAAACAAGGGACCAAATTGTAATGAATACAATATTTTCTAATTTTAATTGGCGTAATTTAGTGTTTAATAGATATATTTAGATCTTTCAAGTTTAAAATGTTATACTTAGACAAAAAATAGTCCAATTAAAGATAAAATATCAAATATTTTAAATTTTATAACAATAATTCATGTTCTATTATATCATTTATTGATATAAAATCAAAAATAAAAATATAATTTTTTCTTTAAAAAATCTATCTATTAAAATTATAATTATACTATCACCCTCAATTTTCGCTTATTTATTTGATAAGCGCAGCGGAGCCTTTTTGGAGATAGTCTTCACTTTCCCTATCTTGATAGACTCTGAGAGAGAGAGAGAGAGAGAGAGAGCGATAGAGAAGGGACATGGCAGGGGTAGCAGTGGTGGGATTGTTCTGGCCGTCGAAGCTGACTCATAAATCTCCACCTTTCTCTTCTTCACGATGTTCTCGTCGATATATCCCTTCTTCTTCTTCTAATGTAAGAATGGCCATTTCAATCGACGAGAAGAAGAAAACTTTTACTCTTCAGAAGTCTGAAGAAGCATTCAACACCGCCAAGGTACAAATTGCGCACGTATATGTATATGCGATATTTTCTCACTCTTTTTTTTTAGAAATTTGAATTAATTCATCTTTAGTGTTGGAAATAAATTACTTTGATTTTACTTAAGTCTTTTATGATAATTGACTTTCTATTTGCAATTAATAGAAGATTAATTGATGGATAAATGGAATGTTGATCTATCAAATAACTTTAATAATAACTGGCTACAATTGTATAATTGTTTAGCATGTGGGGTTGTGAGTAGTCTTGGGAAACAAAAGCACAGGTGCTGGACAAGTAATTTTTTGTTTGGTTAAGCATCTAATGGTGTGGTGATTGGGATGCTAGGAATGAGTCATTGACTTGGTTCAGCTGAACACTATAAAGTGCCTAAAGAATCGAGGCATGGAGAATTGGGGATATGCCTGAACTATTTGCCATGTATATGGAATAACCATAAATTGTGAGGGCTGATTGCTAAATAAAGAACTATTGGTCGTGGATTTGTGGTATATATACAATTGATTTATGTCGGAGCATTATAGTGGATGTGCAAAGCAACACACATCCTTCGCCTATAATGTGGTCAAGGAAAGTCGACCACATTTGTTTCAAAAGTCCCATATGGGTGCAGAGACATGGTTGTGTGTCATGTTGATAATGTCCAGGATTCTAGTTATAGATTGGAGTTATCTGAAAATTATTTAATTGGACCAGCATTATGACCAAAATCATCAAATAGACATTTTATGTGAAATGTGGTTGACAAATCGAGCCTCCCACTTTAGTAGGGCCAACTATAGGGTAATGGAATTTAGTACGAAGATGAGAAAAAACGAGCAAGAGAAGATATGTGGGATTTGATTTGTTATCTGCACCTAAAGTGTTCAGATTATAGAGGCCAAATTTGTGGACCAATTTTCACAACTCTGTGATGTATGGATTTTTGCTTTAATCATGATCAGTAGTGTGTCAGCTATAGGCAGAGTAACTGGAGAATTGCAATCACTTGGAGCCATTTTTATTGGTTTTACAAGTGCCAAAGAAGTGGTGTTAAACCTTGTTCACAACTACTCTTTATGGAAAGATGTTGGATAGTTAAATTGGCCTTGTATCTCTTAGTTTTCAAGAAGATACGCTGTAGGGGAAGGATGAGAAAATGATGGATCGAGTTAAATTGGTTTCGAATATCGCTGTTTTCAGAAAGAAAAGGAAAGAACTTGGAGAGACTTAAATTAGTTTTGGAAACCTCACACTTCTATGTCAAAGCAGGAAATTCAGTACATACTGACCTATGTGAACTGTGAGTGCTTTTATTTCGGTTTGTATGTAGAATATAACTGGTTTCAACCTGTTTTTGTTAAGTTGCAATGCAATCTATGTTTTCTTGATATTTTATGGGCATATCAATATTTTGTCTCAAATCAATGGTTTATTAACTCATGTAAGACTGTTGACAGGAGTTGATGCCTGGAGGTGTAAATTCCCCTGTACGTGCTTTCAAATCAGTCGGTGGCCAGCCCATTGTAATTGATTCTGTGAAGGGATGTAGAATGTGGGACATAGATGGTAACACGTACATCGACTATGTTGGTTCATGGGGTCCAGCAATCATTGGTCATGCAGATGATGAGGTTCTATTCCTTGTCCATTTTGTAACTATATTTAAGGTTGGAATGTCCATGAGTGTTGTGGATCTTTGACCAATCATGATCTTCAAATGTGCGAGCATTTGACAAACAGTAACATGGCTGGAATGTTACTATTTTCCTGCTGCTCTGTTTTTTCTCTTAGATTTCTTGTATCTGACTGGTAGGTTTTGTTGAGGAGATGACAGAGCATGAATGGGACATGCACTTGAAGGCATGAATTGTCCCTTCCAGGGATGTTGTTCGTGTATTACTTTTTTATGCATTTGTCTCATAGAAACTTGTGTCTATGTGACATGATGACTCAGATTCCTCTTTTGGACTAGGAGCTCCCCTCCCAAATAATGTCTTTCAAAGGTCCTATATTATAAAGTACCAATTATGGTTCTCAGTGGAGGGGAAGTTTAAATGTTTCATGACTTCTTCTTAGGGATGTAATTCGTTTAAAGAGACCATTTTAGTGGTGGATTGAATCACGTTTCCTGTCTCGAAATTCAATTTAACAATGCTATTGACTTAGAGTGCTATAAATTTAGATAGACGTAATCCTGGAGTAACCTTTACCTGCAGATACTGGAAGCGTTGGCTGAAACAATGAAGAAGGGAACTAGCTTTGGTGCTCCATGTCTTCTTGAAAATGTCCTGGCAGAGATGGTCATTTCAGCTGTTCCAAGCATAGAAATGGTTCGTTTTGTCAACTCGGGCACTGAAGCATGCATGGGTGTACTCCGGTTAGCCCGTGCCTTCACTGGCAAGGAGAAACTCATCAAGTTTGAGGGTTGCTACCATGGCCATGCAGATCCATTCCTTGTTAAGGCAGGCAGTGGAGTTGCTACCCTTGGACTCCCAGACTCCCCTGGTGTTCCCAAAGGAGCTACTTATGAAACACTAACTTCACCGTTCAACGACATTGCAACTGTGGAAAATCTCTTTGAGACACACAGAGGAGAAATTGCCGCAATTATCCTTGAGCCTGTTGTGGGAAACTCTGGCTTCATTGCACCCAAACCTGATTTTCTCAATGCTATTCGCAGGATCACCAAGGAAAATAATGTCCTCCTCATCTTTGATGAAGTTATGACTGGTTTCCGTTTGTCTTATGGTGGCGCCCAGGAGTACTTTGGCATAACTCCGGATTTAACAACACTGGGAAAGATTATTGGAGGTGGGCTGCCAGTCGGTGCATATGGAGGAAGGAGGGAGATTATGGAGATGGTGGCACCAGCAGGACCAATGTACCAGGCTGGAACCCTCAGTGGCAACCCATTGGCAATGACTGCAGGAATTCAAACTCTCAAGCGGTTACAGGAGCCAGGAAGTTATGACTACTTAAATAAAATCACAAGTGAACTTATTCAGGGTATTGTGGATGCTGGAAAGAAGGCTGGGCATGCAATATGCGGTGACTATATAAGCGGGATGTTTGGCTTCTTTTTCACAGAAGGGCCTGTTTATAACTTCGCAGATGCAAAAAAGAGTGACACCACAAAGTTTGCAAGGTTTTATAGAGGAATGTTAGAGGAAGGTGTTTACTTTGCACCCTCACAGTTTGAGGCTGGATTTACTAGCTTAGCTCATACTTCCGAGGATATTCAACAGACAATAGCCGCTGCTGAGAAGGTTTTCAGAAAAATCTAGGTAGTATGTCTCTAATTTCTCATCAGCTTATGTGGTGGTGCTTCTGGTTGTTTATTCATTTTTGAAGTTAGGGTTTTCCTTTGGTTGTGAAGCTTTATGTGATTGTATACTTTTTTCTCCAGCAAGATGTGTGATTTTTAATTAGACATTTTTTACCTTGTCCATTGTTGATGTATCACATGTATTAACCTCATTAAACTTAAAAGTGCTTGATATTTATTAAAATGCCCCTTCTCTTTTCGGTTGGCTTTTTTCTTTCCTCCTACTGTAATATTTCAGGATTCTATACTGTTGTAGATTCCTGTTGGAGGAGGATGAGGAGGAGGAAATGCTTGTAATGGTGACAAATGGAATGAGTGAATGTGATCATAATTTGCAGCCTCAGAGATTCAATTGAAGACATATTACAGTGACCAACTGTAACAAATTTGGAAGAACACTTCATTACCACTTTGCACTTCCACTAGGGATTCTAATATTGGAAACTTGAAACCATGACCAACTAGGGGTCTACCAAGCTCAGCAATATGGTCCATTCCACATCTTAATTCATGTTTTCTTTGACTTTTTTGGTTAAACTGTCGGGTGTGTCTGGGTTAACTTTTGCAAATTTTAATTAATCCTATTATTAGTCTGGTCAAAGGCACGGGATTAGAGTATTCATGATCCCTCATAGTCTGACTCCAAGAAATTGTCAAGATTCAAACTCAAGATTTTTGAGTTTAGAACTCATTTATGTTACCATTTGAGTTATCATACAATATTTCTTGTATCTTATTTGAGGATGTAATTTGAAAACCTATAATTGGATTGATAATGTATTAAATTTAATGCTAGAAACTACAATGTTCCAATGATCACAAAATATTAGGTCCTCAAATTAGGTTTATAAATAAATCTCAATATTATTGTTTAAACACATGTCAACACGACACCAATTTATTGAGTAATAACGGATTGGATTAGTGTTAAACAAAAATTCTCGACTTGACATGATAAAAATTCATCTAAAAATAATGTATTTTTTATTTTTTTTTCTATTGCTTAAATAAAATTAGAAGAATTTTTACTTAATTTAAATGGTTGAGAGAAAAAAGTGTTTTAGTGTTGGGTTTTTCGTTCATACATCATTATGGGGATCAATTCGAATACAAAAATGAATACGACGTCGTAACTCGATGAGGACCTCATATAACCAGTCACACTATGCTCAGTTGAAACCAGGACGAAGAGGAAGAGAGAGGCAATGGAGATTGTATGGCAAACTCCGGCGAACCCACCGGAGCGCCACGATTATATCTTCCGAAACGGTAAAAAAAAGGAACTCAGAATTCCCACTGAACAATAAGATCTTCCTAGCATTTGTATAATTTCTTGCAATTTTTCATCGTCAATGATCAAGTTTTCGAATTGTTTTGCAGGTATACGCTATGTGAGACCCTACTACTTCGAGTTCATTTGTCATGTATGTATAGTCTCGGTCTCTCTCTAACTTTAACTAATTCCGTTTTTCTTAGTTTTTCATTCGCTCATTGGATCCTATATAAAATCCTGAAAGATTTCAAGTTAAAACCCTCGTTAAACCCTAATTGCGTTTAGAAACTCTGATTATTGTTGTTAAATTTGAGCACAGGTAAGAATCGTTGGGCGGGGAAGACCATTGTTGATATGTTCGCTGAAGAATTTAAAGGCCGACCTCGTGATTACTATGTGAGTTGCTATATTATGTTAATATATGTATATAAAATGCTGATTTAGCTTTTTTCTGTAGCGAATGGGTATTAATTTACTACATTTTTCAGTAGTATATGGGTACAACTCACCTCATCAAAGTACTTATCCCTCAGTTATTTTTTGTAGTATTATGAGTATGTAAGATAAATTTGTGAGGTGGTTTGCAAATTGACTCTATGAGAAGCCTCTCAATTTTTTGTCTGAGAATGGTGTATGTCTGACTTGTTTGTATGGATGTTCATGTGGTCTTTTAAATGGCTTTGGAAGCAACAAACTAGGTTGGGTGGTATATAACATAACGTGTTGAAAACTGTAGGTTTTGGCTGTTAAATGTGGGCGGATACAAGTTGATGGACAGAAAGTGCATGTTTCATACATAGTTCAGCCATCGCAAAAAATAAGCCATTTCTTGCACAGGTTTGCTGTGTATGATGTCATGCTTAGAGCAATTTTTTTTGTGAAAATTTATTACAGGGTTATGTGGTCTCAACTGAATATCGTAATTTGACATTTCAATTTATATGTTTTCCTGCCCTTGTTTCTATGGATATTATATTTTTTTTCCTACTGTTGAAGTTATTAAGCTGGTAAATGGTACACCAAAGGGTGCAGGCATGAACCACCTGTGATGGTGCGGGATGTCGCTGTTCTCCATGAAGAAGCAGATGTGCTAACTGTATGTAAGCCTGCTTCTGTTCCGGTAAGTCTGCTGTTGGATGTGCGCATCTGCTATTTGTTTGGTTTTCATTACATATGTACCATATTTTCTTTGCTTGCAGTATTCCAATTTACATTTCAGTTGAAAATATGGTTGTGTCGAGACAGTCTCAGTCATGAACTCATATTCTTTTTCATGCTACAATAAACTCCATAAGGGAGGATTGTGCTCCTTTGTACTAGTGGTATATTAACATAACCTCTTGAGTGTTGTGCATCTTGTAAATAGTTTATTGCAGTTTTTTAGTGGATTTTATAAGTGAACATATCCATAATTTTATGCATGTCATTTGTTGGAGATATCCATAACACATCCACCTTGATTGTTTACTTTTTGAGGACCTATACACTTTGCACACATGCATGATTTATTGAAAGGGGACGCTGTGAACATAGGAAAAAATTGATCAAAGAGATTTGAGATGTGACATTTAAAATTATGAAATTGATTGGTTTCATCCATCTAACTTAAGAGTGAACAATAAATGTGGTTCACCTAGCAGATGCTCATGGAAAATACAGTACAAAAAATTATCTCCCCACACTTTTGGTGGCTATAGCCACAAGCTTAAGTTTTTATCCTCTTTGGGCTTACTGATATGGAGGTGGTATCGGTTCTCCTATGGAGTTTTTGGCCTTGGTATTGAACCCATATGTTTTTTTTTTTTTTTTTCTGTTCCGTGGATTCTTTTTTCAGGCTTCTCTAGTGTGTGCCACTTATACATGGGCTATTCCCATCTTTTGTGCTTCTACTGGAGTTTCACTTATCCTAAAAATGATCTTTCCATGTGTACCACGACAACATAAGCATTTTCTTATTGCTAATCTACGTCTTGCCATTTGGAGGCATGATTGGTGATCAGTTTTGACGTTTTTGAGAGGAGATTAGGAATGAGTCAACCACGACCTGTTTTCTGATTTTGACATTCTTCCAGGATTGATTTGTTAGGGAGATTTATTCGAGGAAGTTGGCATGCTTGACTGTTGACCTCGTGGCTTTGTATAAATAGTTACCTACATGATCTATGGCCTTGTGATATTTATTTGAATATCCTAATCTTATGAAATTTCTTTGTGAATGCATGACAATATTTCATGTGTCCGAAAGTATCTGACTAATTGCATAGCATGGTCTGAGTACATCTTTGTTTTGTTGTGCTCAATTTTCTAGTTTATAGTCATGCAGGTGCATCCATGTGGACAATATCGTAAGAACACAGTTGTTGGTATCCTTCAGGCGGAGCATGGCTTGGCACCTTTATTTCGTATCCGGCTTTTCTTTGGCAGCAATGATCTGTTAGATAGTATATTTGATATGCCAGTTCTCTAATGATTATTTGTCCCATGTTATCCTTGACACTGCACATCAGCGGTTCATAGACTAGATCGCTTGGTCTCAGGACTTCTTATCTTGGCTAGAAGTGCTTCTAAGGCGGACCTTTTTAGGCAAGAGGTAAGCTTCATACAACTATGATATGAAATGTTATTGATGAATGTGTGTATTTATTAATGCTTTAAAATGTCATAAAACCCTCCTTTTGTCACTTCTTTCAATTTATATTATGGGTATAAATGGCACTATGCAACATATTGTGAGAAAGTATGACTGCCTCAAGGTTAGCATATATTCCAAACCACTCCATTGAAGGAAAAGACAAAAATCTGGCATACCTAGATCATCTATCATGGAAACCTTCTTGTCTCCAATAATACATCCAAATTGTAACCTTGTCACTCTGGTGAATATTGGTATCATCACCAAGACTGCATGTCTGTCTAATGAAATAGCATGATTGCGGTTATCATCTTCATCTATAATTATGTCACATGCGACATATGCTGGTGGCACCACTTGAATCAATGCTAGCAATGATTGTTTTTCAACTCTTGCTGCTCAGTACTTGCGGTTCGCAACAAGGCCATGCCATAAAAATGGCCAAAAATCTTGTTCCTTATGTCGCCTTCATTGATTCCTGCCCGCAAATCTATCACCCAGTAGGCCTCCGTAACCATTCGAATTGGATGGGCCGGAACCGTAATCCATTTGCGCTAGCCGGTGGGTGATCAACTGATCATTAACCCACCTTAACCATATATTTGTCTGGAGTAAAATTTTATTCTTGAGGTTATTTTTTTCTTTTTGAATATAGAGAAAAAGCATTTGTCTTCAACATTTGATGTTACTCTTCAGATAAAATCATGCTACAGCAGTAAAAGGGGTGCTCTGTCTTTTTCCTACCATGGATGATCCTTATTGGACAACTAAGCTTGGGGAAGGCAACTCCTTAACTTTCATTTGTGATTTTATCAAGCTCATATCCTTAATTTAACACGTTGGAATATCCAATATAATGGTCAATGTATGCCTAGATATTGCATGCTCGGGGAACATATTGTAATTTAACTTTCTGCATGCTGTATATGGTGGCCTTTTATTCACCCAGTTTGGTGGGTGCTCAATATTGGTTCTTTGTTGAAGAAGATACCTTTCTTACTGTCATAAAGTAAGATATGGTTGTTTCAGATTGAATCTGGGATGGTGCAGAAACAGTATATTGCAAAGGTCATTGGCATATTTCCTGAGGATGAGGTATTCTACTGCCTAAGCGTGTGTGATTTATGTTTTTGCCTTCAAATATGGTAGTGGACACTTATAGCATATCTCTCTCTCTCTCTCTCTCTCTCGCAGTTAATAGGTATTTTGTTTCTCATTTGACCTTTTTTTTTGTCTATTTTTGTTCTACAGCAAGTTGTGCATGCAAATGTAAATTACAACGCTAGAGAAGGGAGGAGCGCAGTGGAGGTAACTATTTCTTTGCAATGCCTGTTTTGGATGATTGTTTTACCTAGAATGTACATGGTTTTGGTAGTGCTAAACTTATGTTAACATAATGTTTGGCATGTCATGAGATCCTCTTCCTGATGGTATGGCATTGGACCTGAGGTGGTTATTATGTTCTCGTGTCTAAGATAACTACGAGCTTTCAATTTTTAGGAAGCCTCCTTTCCACTACTTGCTTGAAATTCTAGTTTAGGTCTATGTAATGTAGATTAATTTGGAGATGATTCCAATAATAAGGCAGACATACTCATAGAACTGTAGAAGTGCTACTAGACATTCCAAAATATACAAATCTTGTGACATTGGGGTGTAAGTGGCATATTTCATTCTTTCTTCTAGCTATGTGTGTGTTCTTTAATTATTGCTAGGCTTTTTTTTTTTTTGTGCGAATAATGCTACTAGTTAGGTATGTATTCTCAACACCCCTCATCAACGGGGGCTAAATTTGGCAAGTACCTTTTTGTTTTTGTTGTTAAGGATTACTTGGTCTTATATTTTTTTGTGTTCGAATTCAATTGTTCTTTTTCTATTTTTTTTCCAGGTTTTGCTCTAATTTGGGATTTTAATGGCATAATTTTAGATATTGTTTGATTTTAAGTTTCACCAAATGATTTTCTTAGACAAGTAATTAATGGTTTAGGAGACCATATCCATTTGTCTGTAAGCATATTCGGACTAGAACTTCGTTCTCCATTTGATTTTTATCTTTGATGTTCTTTCGGATGATTTTTGTTATTTGAAGTTACCATGCATCGGTATGGGGATGGATAGATATGAAATTAAGTTGTTTCTTGAAATCATCAGCTGATAATGTTATGAGGTGTCAAAATTTGCACTTTTGTTTGCTTGCTATTTCAAGCATGGAAGGTGCACCTATTTGAATGGATTAATGAATTTTCAAATGTCTTCTCCCTCTCTCCCTTACTTCCCTTACTACGTATGGGGCCTGTACACATTTATGTTATAATAGTGATGTTTGCTCTCAATTCATGTTCAAGTTTGCTACAGAGCTGCATTATCTGTGTTGTGCCTGGTGGATTGTGGTGGCACATGCAAATTTAGTTACTATTTTTTCATTTGGGGGGCATGATGAAAGGTCCGTAAAACAAACCTATTATTTAGAAATACTACATACAAATGCTGCATTTAAATGCAAAAATGATTCATGGTTCAATTCTTCGTATGATTCTCAAAACTCCATGTATTTTGCTTCTTTAGCATTTCACATATTAATGAAGTTAGTTGATGCAAGATGAGTGACGATAATTTTGGTATTTGAATTGGAACATGATCAATGGGACTGATTTTTTTTCTAATGAATATCGATTAGGAAATTTATAGGAGATTTTAATTTATTTGATTTTCTATACTAAATAGGATTTTGTTTTATTCGGTTTCCGAATTCTATTAGGATTCTACTTTTCTAGTTGGTTTAACGTCTTTGTTATTATATAAACTTCAGTAAGTAATGGATCAAAATTTTGTTTGGTGTATTGTTTCAGTCATCTAGAAAATGGAAACGATTCGATGTGTTTCAAAATCGTTTCGATCCATTTTGAAAATATAATAAAAAAATAAACATTATTTTTTCAAAATATTGATCGAAATATATCAAAATATCTTAAAATACTTTTAAACATTCCAAAACTATTGTGCAAATGCATTGAAATATTGCAAAACATCTCAAAATATTATGGAATACCTCGGAATATTAGAATTTCAATTACATCACTGATTCGTTTAGGCCTCCTTGAAAACGGAAACGTTTCAGATGTTTTGAAACGAAATTTTGATCCTTGTTTGTAAGTTTTAGCGTGAAGTATCTTTTGGTGAATTAATACAATTGAGAATTTCCTCTTTCTCAATTATTATGGTATTCTTAGGGATCGACAGAGTAATTGAAGCTTTTAGAACTGGTATTCTGTGTGAATCAACAGACCTAGAGTAGAATTCTAAATAAGTATTTGTGCACAAATTAACGGTTCTGTTTCATTCTGTTTTCCAACCCCCTTTTGTTCATAATTAGTGTTCCCACACGCTTCCCTGCATTACGCTACGCTATTGTCACTATGTCATCAAGAAAACAACCTATGAAGAGATCCATGCGGCCGAGATAAAGGCAAGGGATGCAAGGGGACAATAGCAGTTCGAGACGTTAGTCCAACATATGACAACCTTTATTGTCGTTATTCAGCAACAAATACATCCGCATCGATGACCCCAAAATCCACAATTGGTGAAGGAGGTTTGAGTTCTTGACACGAAATTCAAAAATGTATCTTTTGGTAACAATTCATCCTATTTGCAATCCTAAGTTGACTGGGATTTATCTTCAATATTTGATGACTATCTCGAGGATGACTTTTTAATTCGTACTCAAAATGATTTGGATACCTCGATTTACGATGAATATCTCGAGGATGATTATCTTATCACTATCAAAGATGGTTGTGATGCCTTGGTGATTGGTAGTCTACTGATAGACTCCATGGAAGATAACACAACCAAGAAAGATTTTTATAGTGTCAAGGCTGATGTTCATGCCCTCGATCATTTGGAAGATAAGTAGATGAGACAAGCATTTCTTTCTAACCGTGGTGGAAGTAAATTACACCCTGACCTCATATCTTAAGAAGAGTCAATGGAGTCGTATGTTAAGGACACTAATTGCTCTCATCAGAGGGGGTGTCCTCAAAAAACATTTGTTGTCCCATATTGTTCCGTATGTGAGAATGACCAAATGAAGTAAGTTTTCCGGTAGATTTCATATTCTTTTGCAAAATTCTTTACCAAGTGCAAGCGAACCTATAAGGATGGGATCTTGATTCTAGAAGCTACAACCAAAGTCAAATTATGTTGGGTTAATTATAGTGGTGGTGATAGTTGGTACGTGGAGGTCAGTAACAAAATTGGATTGTTTTCAAAAAAATTCTCACTAGAAAATAATGATTCGATTTGGTTGAAATTTGTAGAAAACTACATGACTAAGATGTTCTAAGTCATCAGATTTTCCTACTTTACACGATAAGGGATCATGGAAGTGAAAAGTTATGAACATTCAAGTCAAGGTTGCATTCAGACTAGTCCTACTGTTTTTTGCGAGTTATTAAAAGTCAAGCTTCCAAAGTACTAAGAGGGTTGAAATTTTGGCACGGTTCTAATGCAAATGAAGAACAAAGCATCAAATTATGACTGCATGGACTGGTCGAAAGCCTAAATTCAAGCAAAATATCAAATATCAAAGTTGAATTCGGGGGCGAATTCATTCCAACTTAGGGAGAATGATGTAGAATCAAGATGAGTGGCGATAATTTTGGTATTTGAATTTGAACATGATCAATGGGATTGATTTTTTCCAATGAATATCAATTAGAAAATTTTTAGGAGATTTTAATTTATTTGATTTTTTATATTAACTAGGATTTTATTTTATTCGATTTTCAAATTTAATTAAGATTCTACTTTCCTAGTTGGTTTGGGGTTTTTGTTATTAATATGTAAACTTATTAAGCCTTAGGGCAAAGTCGTTTTTGGTGAATTAATACAATTGGGAGAGTTTTCTCTTTTTTCCAATTATTCTAGTATTCTTAAGAACCAATATAGCAATTGAAGCTTTTAGGACTTGTATTTTATTTTATTTTATTTTGGATCAGGACTGGTATTTTTTTTGACTCAACAAATCTAAAGTAGGATTCTAAACTGGTATTTGTGTGCAAATTAACGGTTTTGTTGCATTCTGTTTTCCAAACCCTTCTTGTTCGTAATATCCACATTTTTACACCCTTCCCTGTATCATTAGCTCTCTTTGCCTACTTGCTGGGTGCCATATTATATTATCCACTGCTACGTGGTTTCCCCGATGTAGATGAAGCAGTTTACTGGATTCAGGTGCATTATGTTGTTTATTCAGGTGGGGGAGGTTTGCGAGAACAGCAATACTCTGCTGAAGGGAAAGGCTGCTTGTACAAAATTTACAAGAATTTGTACGGATGGGACTCATAGTGTCATTTTATGCAAACCAATCACCGGAAGGACACATCAAGTAAGAAAAAATTCCAGGTTCTTTGGACTGTTTGTCAGTTTGTCGCTTTCATGAAAAACAATTATTGGCTGCTTCTGTTTCCTTTCCTTTTCCAGTACTTTGTTACTTTATCTTCCATGAGCTTTAATATATGTGTATACTGCCATTTATATTTGCATTCATCTTCATTGTTGCATTCTTGACCTGACTTGCTAACCTTCAACCATTTTCTTGAAAAGCTGTGCCAAATTTTCTCTTCATAACTCAGCAATACTCTTATATTTACATAAGAACCAATGTGTAACTTTCATTTGTGTTGTTCAACCTGAAGCTCTAATATTGGGTGATTTGGCAGTGCTCCACCTTTTAAATGATTCAATGCCTGTAATTTTGGATGTCTGATAAGCCAGATTCATCAATTTTTTCACCTCTTTCTCATAGATACGTGTCCATCTGTAATATGGGGGTCATCCCATAGCCAACGACATGCTCTACCTCTCCGAATTTGTTTCTGATCGTTCTACTGAAGGAGTGAGTGCTGATAGAGCTGCAGCTAATTTTGGTCCTTCTCGAAAATCCAATTCTCATAGAGATTGTATTGATGTATCTGAAGGGAAGTCCAGTGAAGATTTCAGCTTTGATCCTATGTGTACTAATTGTCCAAATTTGGCTCCTAAAGGGGTAAGCAATTTTTCTCACATAGTGTGATTTCTTGTGGAATATAGAAATCAGTTCTGAGTTGAATATTTTCTAGCCTTCCAGGTTTCTGCGCAATGGAATAGAGTGTGTACTCATTCTTTGTTGTTAATAATGTATATGATAAAACATCACAAAATAAACTTAAAGCTTCAATACTATTGGTAATTCAGATGATATTAGTGAAAAATAATGTTTTCCCCACCGTAATTGGTTTCACGGCTGTCGTTTCTGGAAGCTTGATTGAGTAACAAAGATAAAAGGAAATAAGATTGTGGAAATGTAGTTTTATCATGACCTGGATGCCCTCAAAAAAGCTTCAGAGAGATGAAAGAAAGAGATTCCAATGGTTCTATCAATATTATACCACCATGAACAATGTCTATAGTGGTATAATTTGCCATGTTTCAGAAGAGAGAGTACCGCATAGATTTAGATACAGTGACTTGATGAAAGAGATATCCGAGAGTTGGCACTGTGGTAGGTTTGAGCAGGACAAATATGTGAAGTTCATGGAGCAATAGCTCTAGAAATATTTGATAGTTGCAGTCATACAATACCACTATCAGCCACTTGAAATTCTTTGAAATTGAGGTTTGAGTAATTATGTGCTTATGATTTAAGAAAAAAGATAGCTTTAAACATGTCTTCTGTGCTGGTTTGAGTGGATTCAACATAGAGGAGTTGCTGAATATCAATTGATGTTCAGTTCGCCCTTGAACTATTCATTATTGTTTGATGATGCAGATATGATGGACAGGAAGAGGGTCTGTAGCTGCATTGTGTTCGATACACTGGACCAAGCTGGATTTATGAATGCGTCTTCATTTTTTAGTATATTCGAAATTTCTATTTAAAAGAAAGAACATAACAAGTCAGTGGTTACTCCATGGTTCAGTGGGATTGGAGGTTCTGCACCTGTGCAGTTACTGTTTTATATTTCGGGAGGGCTTGTATTTCTCCTATTTTAGACTACAAAAAACGAACTTTTGTCAGAATATTTGCTTGAAACAGCTGATAGACTGACTAGAGAGAAAACTGAGCAGTTATGTTGGCATAATTTGTTTCACAGCAAATATTATATAGTGTTACTTCCAAAACAGGCAAAATAGTGTCGGCAAGTGATGGAGGTCAAACTGGAAGCAGAGGTTTCTAAAGGGTGGTGAGTACAGGTGGTTCTGGACGCAATATTATCTCGGTTAGGCGATGGTGCCCTGCTGCATCTTTGTATAATCATGGTTTGTACTGCAAATTCAGTATATGAAGGGAAATTAATGGAGGCTTGAGCCTGGAATTGATAGTACCCTGGAAATATATTCAGAGGTGGAGAGAGGGCCCCGGAGGGGGGGGGGGGGGGGGGGGGGGGGG